ATCCCTTGAATTCCTACCCACATTTGCTTCATCCCCCCCTCAAAATCTTCGTTAGTCTTTTGGACTACTTCCTCCCACAACGCTTTCTTCTTCACCACCAACTCCTTCACCCTCTTGCATTTTTCAATATACCTCCTTCCATCCTGCATCGGTTTTCTCTGCCGCATATTTTGCGTGTGACTCTCTACGTACTCGAATTGCTTGCTTGATTTCTTCGTCCCACCACTTCCACTGCTCTCTTACAAACTATCAACTTTCTACCGAGAACTCTACTTGCCGTTGTGTTTACCAGCTTTTCCCACCCTTCTATGATTCTAGATCCGGCCTGGTCCCGACCTTTGGCATCCTTCGGTGTGCCCATTGCCTCTATCAACTCCGAGAGTTTCTTGTCGTTTACAGCCATCTCTTCTTGGAACTCTACCCTCGTTTCTTCTACTTCTAGCTTATCTATTCTCCATCTGTATATTTTCCTGCGTCGCCTACTCTGGATGACTCTCGTCTGTTGTAGGGTTGTCCACACCAACGCATGGTCTGTAGTGCCTACATCCGTTGTGCATACTCGTACTTCCGGGGGGGGGGATGCGAGTCATTGAAGAGGTCAAGTGTGCGTTTTCGGATTGTCGTGGTCGGTGGTGTACCGTACTGCGGCGTTAACGTTGAACGTAAAATTCCAGCCGGTTGGAGGTACAATAGATGTGCCGTCATCTCATCCGTCAGCACTATTACAAAAGAGGTAACGAAATTTAACACAGGAAACAAACAAAAGGGAGAGCAGCAAGCATACAGCAGTATTTAATACAGGTCAAAAGAAAGGCTAGGACTGGAATCGCAAACTCGTCTCCTCACTCACCCCGGCCCCATCCTCGTTCCCGCTGCTGTAACCCCCCACACTACCGCCTGAGACGTTCTCGGCGAACATTCTGGGGTCGTTGCCATCCGGCAAGCTATCCTCGTCGCTCGTTGCACCCCCGCCGGGCTGCAGAGCCTCGTTCACAGCCTGGACAGACAGACAGACAGACAGATGGCGATGCAGCCACAACCGTGTAGTCGACATAACGTGAGCCGACGGCGCCAAAGGTGACAGAAACAGTACCAGTGGAGTAAGCCATCATGCGGTGAGACGCACTATGGCAGTAGTCGCTGTGCACGGCCACATGGTGCCCACACAAAAAAAAGAAACGACACAGCCAGAGTTGTATAGAGAGGCAGACGTGTTGCAGAGTAACGAAAGTGTTACATTGATAAGATACAGAAGGTCTCAATCCAGACAAGACGAAACAAGACCCGCCCCCCCCC